TTAGCTTTAGAGCTAAGTAAGTCCCACCCAACCCCGTAAAATAATAGTTTTGTTTAAAAATAAGTATTTGTATATAGTATATACAAAATGAGTTTCCATTAATTTTAAAAAGAGTAATAATATCTCCAAAAGATTTTCTTCAAAAATTCTCGTAAGTATTTCAAAGAATAATTCTCCAAGTACCAAAATATTTTAGTTTTCCTCAAAATAGCTTTATAGCCAATTTTCCTAATTATTTAGTTAGAAGGGCGGTGCTCAAGCGTATTCTCGATTCTTGAGCCCAGTGATCTGTTGTTTTGTACGGTCACTCCGATCTACTCTCGGTACCTCATCTCCTCTATTAGAATCTAGACTTCTACCTTAAGTGTGCACACCCCCTAAAGGGATTCCAAGCCCTCCGAGTAGTATGAAGTCTAAGTAGTTCTGACGTCAACGTCTCCCTACTCAAATTGGGATATACTCCCTAAGTTCTAGGTTCAAAGACCCTTAAGAGAATAGGTACTACTACTACTGCCTTAATAAATGGGATCTAATGCCCAGTTGTTCGGGGTGGTTACCGAACCCTCCAAAATTTATTTAATTTGCTTTATACCTCTCAACTCAAGTAGTAGTAGTCCTAACCCTCCCTCACCATTAACGGACGTGAAGGTGGCCCGACACCTACGGATTTCTCCCGTGGTGCCCCAATTATGAAAACAGTCTTTTATCTTGACTTTCCAAAAATTTCACATTTATGTCTCTTGGACAAAATTTTACCACAAAGATTAAAATTCATAACTTTATATTTTCCCCAAAATATCTTACGTATACACATAATCCGATGTATCTCAAAATCACAACAAATACAACTTGCTCACAAGTAATTCATCAATCAAAATATTCATACCATCACATAAATCAAGTAAATAGATATTTACGAGGTAAAAACATAATTTTGGTTGCAATGTGACTTACCTTAAATTCCAGAGATTCCTAACAAGCTTCTCTAACGGCCTCCTCTCCAAGTTCACCTTTTATTAATTAATAATCCCAAAGTCAATATTTATTCTAGATTATAATTTATTCGTCCTACCTTTTTCCTTTACTCGGCATATTTTTTTTTCCATTTTACTTTAATAGTTCATGATTTAAATTAGCAATTAATTGAATCTACTACCATTTGAATATTCGAGTCATATAATACATCATTCGTTAATATAATACTTCGTATGATAAAGGTAATTCACGTTTCATCATATTCGAATAATCTACTAACTTATTTTATTTTATAATGATCATCCATTTTATAGTTACATCAATTGATCTATTACCTGATTCAAACGTCCATTTTACAGTGATTCGATCGGTGAAATTTAAATAGTCAAAGTTCCATATCCATAATTTGTATATAGGCCATTAATTTTAAAATCACTAACCAAGCCGTTATTATTATCATCACTTTTTATTACCGTTTATTATTTCCTTATTATTATTGGTATTAGCATCACTATTCTTGTCAATACATAACTACTGCTCTTATTATCAGTCAAATTTTTCATTTTAATCCAATTACTCCATTCGGTAATATAATAATCATTCAATTTTATTTAGATCATTAATTTTATAAGTACCAACCATTCCATTATTATTATTATTACGTTCATCAGTTATGCGAAGTAGTTGTCATTAACTTATTTATTTTCGAACAGTAAATAGTCCAAACCGGTTTAGTTTTATTATTTCAGTCTAGTTTATTTTAATTAGAGTCGATCCATAAATCAAAGAAATGGTCTTTCGTGTAGAGTTCGTCCGTTTTCTCTACCGACTCTACGTAACTGCCCGAATTAACTAAGAACGCAGGTGTGCGGGTTACCTCTCTTGGCGATGCTTTCGTGACACGGTGACGACAGCGTAGACCAGTGATCGGTGCCCGGCGGTTTCCTCCTCCAGAAATGTCCGGCAGAAACCTGCAGCGTCCTTCCTTCTCCGGCAAACTCCGGCACACCACGATCGGCCTTTCTCCTTCTTCCGAACGTTCACACTCTCGCTCTCACCGTTCTCTCTTTCGAAGTTTTCTATTTCTCTTTTTCTGCTTGTGGCGCAGGTCGTTGGTCGTGGGTGATTTGATATTTATAGTTGAGGCTCGAAGGTTCTAGGTCTCACCGGATTAGCTTTGGCGAACTAAGAATAAGGAGGTCGTTGGCAATTCATTCGTTGGTTATTCTTATTGCCTCGCATGCGGCACACTATTACTTGCACACGAAGTATTTGTATTACGTAGAACGATTTATACTTCATACAAGTATATTGTTACTACGTATATTTATATTCTAAGTTTGAAAAGTCAAACTATCTTTATAATTAATTCAACATAACATGCATGTGTCGTACTATATACGTATAGATGTGTTCCTACTTTTAAATTGCATTATTATTATTATTATTATTATTATTATTATTATTATTATATAACTAACTATTATTTATTTTTAACAATGTAACATTTTGTCTTGATTAAAATTACTCATTTTATTTTATTTAAAATTTTCGAGGTGTCACATACACTCCGAACAGATAGAATGATGCAAGAGTAAATCACGATATGATCTCAAATAGTTTTTAAGTGGGGTACGTGGTTCAGGGTCATATGCTCACAAGAAGCCACCACATTGGATGAAATTTCCGCATTGAACCTGAGATGTCAACCCATCAATCTCATTCAGCAACCGAGAACTACCCATGTGGGTGTCTCGTATGAGCTCATCTTGATTCCCTGAGAAGAAGGAGAAGAAGCCCTAGTCTTGGCATGGCTTCATCGATGATGCAACTTCTACAATGATGTGGAAGTGGTAGTTGATGTGCTAGTGCGACTTGGAGCACGTCGAAGGAGATGAGCTGATATTGAACCATGAGAAGTTGAGATCAAAGAGATAGGGAGTTCGAGTGAGAGATGAATTAGAGTTACTTTTATCTATTTATATTGAAGGCATTTAGTCCCTTTCATCAATATATAACCTCTTTTGTCCAAATTAAGACATGGATTTCTTTTTTTGAATTAACACCTATAGTATTATTTCTATGAATATTTCATTTTATTACACTATTGATTTTTATAATCTATGTTTTGAATTAGCGTACTTTAACTTTCTTATCTTCCTCTTTGTCAAAAGACACATTCATTTTTTATAAAGTACACATTGAATCGACTAATTCGATCTGTCAAAGTATTGTCAAATATTTCATTTCAGTTGTTTCAACCATTCTTGCCCCTTAAAATATCTTCAATTTCAAGACATACCAAATCCTAAAATGTCCCATAACACTTCATAAAAGTAGACTTAGAAACATGTGCAAATGATATTATAAGTATTTTTATATTGATGTTGGCGCATAACAAGTAGGTGGATCTGAGGGACATTATTGAAACGATGAATTTTGGAGTTATATGTGACCGTGAGTAACTAATATTAGTGAAAATCAACAACAAGATAAAAATGAAGTTTTTAATGAACAATTACTAGGGGTTGTTTGATGTAACAAATGGTAATTGAATATAACAGAAACCCAAGGGCCAAATTACACACCATGTGATTTATTATGAGGTAGTTTTGAAGGACTGGTGCGCTCAACTCTTCTTCTCCTGACACATCAAGCAGACAGAGGCATCACAACCTCCTCCGCTGACAGAACCGCATATCGCTACCATGGCCATCGACGTCTACCTTGTCTCACGCCAGTAAGAGAGTTGAAGCAGATCTTCGTCGTCATCATCACCCTGCCTTCTCGCACCGCCCTGACCAACTTCGTTTTCTTCTCTTTTCGTCCGGCATCACCCAGGGCGGAGGCTATTCTCGATGTGCGACGATCCTATGGCGGCTGGGCATGGCGGGGGTAGCGGTGGTGCGAGGATTTGGGTGACAGGGGATGGGGAGTTGGGACTGGTGCCAGGAGATGGGGCGGGGAGTTGCGGTCTGGGGAGGGGGATGTGGAGGTGGCTGAGTGCTGGGGGGGCTGAGGAGGGGGGTGGGTGAGGCAGGGGATGGGGTGACACAGGGGTGGGGGTTGGGTGAGGCAGGGGGCTGGGGTGTGTGGCCAGAGGTGGTGGTCGCCGGAGGTGGTTGTCGTCGGCGATGTTGGTCAACAGTAATCACTATTCGATCCGGATAACGGTAAATGATCAAATTGGTATTTGTAATTGGTTGAGCGGGTAAATGTAACTGAACGAGTTGGATAATTGTAACTGGACGGGTCAAGTAACTGTAACTGGACGAGTCGAGTAACTGTAACTGGATAGATCGGGTAAGTGTAACTGGACGGGTCACTATACGGGTTGACGTTGGTCATTGGGCGGACAGATGTTGGTAACTAGGTGAATTTTTTGTTACTAATGATTTTGGTCACTGACAGTTTTTGAATTTTTGGTTACTAATATTTTTTGACACTGACGAGTTTTGGTCACTGTAATGCATTGGTCATTGTAGCGGGTCTGCTAGGCTTTAGTAAGGGCAAAATGGTCCGTTCAACCTTTTTTATTAGTCAGATTTATGGATTTTTTTTAAAAAATCACTTTTTTGCCCTTTGATTACTTTTTAGTACTATTGGTGTCCTAACCCCATCAAATTATATAGAGACCGATTGACGACATTGAAAATATACAATACAATCATGGTTACAAAATCAATTTTTTGTCAATTACTTTTAATATTCTTCATTACTTATCAAAGTTAACACTTCCAATGTACATTTTTTAATTGGTATTTGTACTTTTATTTTACTTTTAATATTCTTCATTTTTGATAACTTTTATTTTACTTTTGGACCCTTCTTCTTAGTAGTTTAACGTTTTTATCTTCTATTTCATATCTTTTCTATTATTTTCTATTGTTTATATTTTTATATATATATTTTGAAAGTATATTTTTATATATTATTGGTATCCAGTTATTTTTATCTGTGTAAAAGAAATTTAGAGCAACATGCAGTATTTGTTAAGTCATTTAGCTCCAAAATGTCTTAATTTTCAAAGCATTAAGGAGAATTTCAAATCTGTTTGACATAGAGACAATAGAGTTTGAAAAGGAATAAGGAAGGAGTAAAATTCTGGTGCACGACGGCGGCGCCCCCAACGAAGGTTTCATTCCTATTCAAAAGGGGGAGTCATCGATAAAGAGTGCTTCCAAATACCAAATGGCTTCGATTCATGATTTCAAGTCATTGATATTGCCGACAATCCGCACTTTCACCCTATTTTTCTTCGTATTTTTGACCGGAACTCTTTCATCTCCGCAACTTCAATGGAACAAGGTAAGCCACTCGGCGTCTCCGTCGATTTACGATCTCCTTCAGACTCACGGTCTTCCTATGGGCATATTCCCGAAGGGAATCTCCGATTATTCCCTTGATCCAAGTTCCGGAAGGTTCGAGCTTCGGCGCGCTCGGTCCTGCGCCGCTCAGTTCGAGACGGATGTCTGGTATGACGTCTCCGTCACCGGAACCCTTAGCTACGGCCAGATTTCGAACCTTTCCGGTATCGCGGCCCAGGAGCTATTCCTCTGGTTTCCTGTGAATGAAATTCGGGTCGATATCCCCAGCTCTGGATTGATTTACTTTGATGTCGGCGTCGTTTCAAAGCAATTCTCCTTGTCTCTTTTCGAAATTCCCCAGGACTGTACGGCCATTGATACTGAGTACCTCTCTTCTTCGTCTTCACTTTCGTCCTTGCCATTGCCGTCGCAGGGAAACCTCATGTCGTTCAACGATCGTGGCCAGATAATTGAGGTCTTACTCCATCTTTTACCTATTATTGATTACTTTAAGTTTCTCATATCTCTTCCAAGAGTTTATATCTTGATGGGCTGCCAATACCAGCATATATGAACGATATACATATCAGATTGATAAGCTTTTGAACCAAGATTTCTTTTTGGGAAATCGCGTCTCACATTTTGCATACTCTTGATGGGCTTTGTGTTTGTGTTGTTTAAGCTAGCATTTTACATCACGGTTAGAGTTACGTTGGCATGAGACAAGTTTTTTTTTTTACTTTTAATGTAAACTTTTGATTTCTTTCAATGTGTAGCCAGCATTGAAATTTCCTTTCGCTCAATCCATTTTTTCTTCGCTCTGGCTGACACAAGTTTCTAAATCACCAAATTGTTCTTCTCACTTGATTAGTGTCAACGTCACCCATAGGGCATGCTATAAGTTTAATGTAGAGTTAAGGAGATGATTGAGGCCATAACCATTTCTTTTCTCACATTTTCCTATTCATTATCAAGCAATAAGAAAATTGTACATGCACATCAGAACGTTGACTTATCATGACGTTTCTTTATTATTAGAGCAAAAAAGATGTATAAATCAAGCTGCCATATAATTGTGATGCAGAATAAATCAAGAAAACTAGTGAAACAAAGTTTTCAATGGCATACTGGGCGAGCTGTATCCTAACTTAGAGGAGGGGCGAAGGAAGTATGGCCAAACTGAAATGGAGGGAGGATACAACACACTTCTATTCTTTTAGGTAAAAAACATAAATGGTGAGATAACTAGTGGTATTGATTCATGTTAGTATAGTAACTATTGAATGAATGAATTTGGCATCCAAGTATATTTATTTCTCTCATTCATTGGTACCATTTGAAAATCTGGCCGAAATCATATGACTTATCATCCTTAAATAGATGTACATTTCCTAAAAATTAATGTGTAAATAGTTAATTCATTCCTATAATCGGTGTAACCCAGACAGGATCTATTGGTCCAACTCACAAGACGACTTGACACATAACTAATATAGTCATTGGACATATTAGAGTTGTGCTCAACTTGTGATCATTAACTAGGTGGATTAATTAAGTACGCATATGTTTGGTGAAAACACGTGATATTAAGGTTACTAGGTTAGATTACATTGGTTGGAATTTGAAGTGGTACCCATTGAATTTGACAATTAAATGTATTTAAGATGTTGATTTTCTTGATTGTGTAGTCACGTTACAAAATGAATCAATATCATTAGTTAAAGTATCATTTATGCATTTTATCCGATTTCTCCCTTTTAATCCAAAGAGGCAGCTGATATGTTTGACGGGGTGGCATTGCATCATGTTTGGCCAGTATCTTTTTTTTATATAATTGGAATGAGAACAGAAAAGTAGAACCTGAGGTTTGAAGTTACTACAAGCCGATCTCACAACTCATAACTATTATGTATGTAACTCTGTGTATGTATGGATTTCTGCGCATATCAGATTGGCTTGGTATTTCCATTTCAGAGTTTTTGGAATTCCATGAAATATAGTGTCATCGGTTAAGAATGTTGTGTGTTCCTTAAAATTCTTAGTATCTCAACTTTCAGCAGCTTATGAATTACTCCGTATGATTTATTATCTTGAATGGTGGATTTGAGTGAATTTCTAAGTTAAAATACACTACAAAGTACAAATATTTTTATCCACGTTCAAAAAAGATGAGTCAGTTTTGTATTATTATAGTTATTGAAGGATAATATTGTATCTTTTGAAAGGAATCATATTCTACCAAAGAGTGCTCCCTCTTTTACGTACTTGCATGTTTTGAATTTGTTCATATTTTTCAAATTCTATATTAATCACATAATTTGGTTATCGTTGGTATGCGTGTGGCCGGTGTGGGTTCCAAATGTTTCAAATATCTTGGACGAACAAAGTTTTATGGCTGTTACTCGGTGGTTGTGTAGGTTGAGTTTCCAGTTACGTTATTTATAATTCATGGCTTTTATTTAGTTATTGATCATGATAATTTATAATTTCCACTTTCTCAAATCATGATTTCTCTATGACCCATTTTCTCAACCCTGAATATTGTCCACCGCTCAACCCACAAGAGCGGTCATTCCTTCCCTCCTGTTTTACTAATTACTAGTATTATTGTCTGAGCCTCTGAGGGTTGTCTCGATCATATAGCTAGGTATACGGTATACTCTACGTCCCTTCATAGTTTTTTCTCCATCTACTGCATGCTATAAACAAATAGTATGCGTGCGTAGGCGTTCTTGATCGTGCATTGTTCTAAACTATCTAAGATTTTATTTGCTGTAATGGCCAACAGTTTATACCAAATTGGACAGTTGGGGCCTTGGAGGTAGTGAGATTGGGTCACCGAGAGGGGTTTTGTGTGTGAGAGCTTGAGAGGTTGAGTCACCAAGGAGTGTTTTGGGAGAATAGTGATCTGGGTCACTGACAATTTGGATGTGTGGGTTTTGGCCTTTTGGGTATGTGGGGTGAGGTTTCAAATGGGGAAGTCACTTTTACCCATGGTGATGTGGGAGGAGAGTAACTTTTGTGCACTAGTGCACAAGCACAGGTCATGACTCATGAGTACTGCCTAATTTAGGTGACTAGAAAAGAATTTTGTGATATCTCTCATGTGAATTAGAAAATGCATAAAACTCCCTTGTGTTATTATAAATTACGCGTAGAATTCCTTCTATAAACAAATTTAGTTGTCAAATAAAATAAAAATGATTAATATTTTTTGTATAATTTAGAGATTTTAACAAATTTACTTGCATATACAATCATAATATTGAAAAAAGTGATTTTAAAATTTTCAAATTTATTCACAAAAGTGTTCTGTGCATGAATAATCATAACATAAGGGACTTTGACACACTTTTTTATCACATGCGGTTAATAGGCTGGATTTGTATATCAGAAGGAAGTTTGGTGCATTAAACTCTAGTAATAACTATAATAAACATAATATTAAAATATTAAGTTTCATACATATTAAATAAAACACGCAATTATAATATTAAAACATTAAGTTTCATACGTATTAAATAAAACACACAATTAATTTAAGGTAACATTTGATTTTGCATCTCATATTTTGAATAATATTCAACCTTGCGCTCTAGTCGGACCGATTAATCCACCTAGTCAACCCTAATTGTAGAGTACTAATCGACCCGAACCGGAACCGGCCCGGCCCGGTCACTGTTTGAACCGGCCCGGCCCGGCGGCCCGGCCCATGGGCGGTTCGGGTCGACCCGGCCCGGTGGCTACCGGTTCCGGGCTCGGGCCTTCATTTTGGTGAACCGGCCCGACCGGTTCGGGCCCGGTCCGGGCCGGATTTTTTTTTTTTTGAACTTTTTTTTACGTTTTTGGGTTGGATTGGGTATTTTGGGCCATTTGAGGTGGTTTGGGGTGGTTTGGGGTTGAGGGGGAGGGTAGGGGGTTGATTAGGAAAACCCCAAAAAAAAATTATATAGAACCGAACCGGGCCCGGCCCAGCCTGAACCGGACCCGGGGTTACCCGGGCCGGTTCCGGGCCTCCCCTACCTTGAACTGAGGCCCGGCCGGTTCAAGGCCCAAACCGGGCCCGGCCCGGAACCGGTCCACCCCTAATGGTCGGTCAAAAATTGGCCTAATAGGTCAAAAATTGACCTACTTAGAAGCTGTTTTTTTCACCTGATTTGAATATTTCTGATCTGATTTGAATATTTCTGATCTGGTCTAATCTGATTTGAATCCTTCTGATATGATCTGAATCTTTTTTATCTGATATGATTTGAATATTTCTTGGGGTAAATTGAGTTTGCCCCCCATTTTATTGTGCAAATTGGACTTTGTACCTCGTTTTAAAAAAAACTTTCTTTTTGCACCTCAACCCCATATGAAAAGACAAAAATGTCCTCGATCAGAAGTATGTTAAGGCCAACAAATTTGTTAATGGAGGGGTTATTTTATCTTTTCATATGGGTTGGGTGCAAAAACAAAGAGTTTTAAAAATGGGGTGCAAAGTCCAATTTGGACGATGAAATGGGGTGCAAACTCAAATTACCCATAATTAAAATTATATTTGTATTAGAAATATAATTTAATTTGTTATAAATATAATTATAAGTATAATAATAATTATAAAGATAATAATGATAGTAATAATAATAATATATTAGTAGTAATAATATTAATATTACAATTATAGTTATTATTATAATTATTATTATAAGAAAAGTGATATATCATGTTTGAACTTTTCTGATCCGATCTGAATGTTTCTGATCTGATCTAGTTTGATTTGATCTGAATCTTTCTGATTTGATCTGAATGCTTCTGATGTGATCTGATCTGAATCTTTCTGATCTGATCTATTCTGAATAAACTAAGAATAAACAATAAGTAATATGAATAAGACGAACAAAACATCTTCTTTGTCGTCTAGGCACTAGGCACCCCTCAACCCAACCGTCTGACTAGCCTCTTCCGACTATTAGAACAATGATCTCATCTAACTATAAAATCATTTGACTTTACGGTCCATTCAAACACAATTTTTGGGCCAATGGAGTACAAATATTAATGATTTTAAAAATAAAGTGTAAATTTTAAATCATTCAAAATATGGGGTGCAAAATTAGTGAGATGTAAAAAAGAAGGGAAAATTGTCAAATAGGTCCCCGAACTTTGATAAAATGGTCAAATAAATCCTTATTACACGAAGTACTTATTTAAAGAGATGAGGAACGAAATACGGAGTACTTATTTAAAGCATACAAAAATTACTGCGTATAAAATATGCCCCAATTGCCTGTCAAGAGTCAAAATCTCGGAGACGAGCAAATCTTTAAGATTGCCATGGCCTCCGTCACTCTACTCCGCCTATGTATTCCGCCGCCGTTCACCACCAAAACCTCCTCCGCTAATCCTCCCTCCCATCAAACCCGCCGCCCCTTACCCCATCCTCTCAAACCCCTAATACCAAAGCTATTCCAAATCGGATCCCAATTTAAGCCCCACAGCAGCAGAGCCCCCATCTCAGCCTCCTACGGCCCGACGCCTGTCACAGACCGCCTGATCTCCACGGTAGCGTACTTCCTTCCCTTCTTCAACGGCCTTCAGTATGGGCGCTACCTCTTGGCCCAATACCCAGCCCTAGCCATCCCTCTCGACCCATTTATCCCGCTCCTCTCCCTCTATCGCTCCATCCCTCTCGCGAGCTTCGTCTCCTTCTTCGCCATCTATTTGGGCATCGTCCGGAACCAGAGGTTCAGCCATTACGCCCGATTCAACGCACTGCAGGCTTTAGTTCTCGATATCCTCCTGGTGCTGCCGCTCATGATTCAGCGGATCTTCACTCCGGGTCGGACCGGTCTCGGTCTCAAGGCTACGATTTGGATGCATAATGGGCTTTTTGTGTTTGTAGTGGGCTGTTTTCTCTACGGGCTTTTGTCCAGTGTTTTGGGCAAAACTCCTTACTTCCCCATTGTGACTGAAGCTGCCAAGCAGCAAATGTAGCAGTCAGTTTCTGTATACAAACCCAATGGCGGAAAATGAAGAAGAGGAGGAGGAGTTGTAGTTCTTCCAATGTATCTTGTTTCCTTTAGTTAAGTAATGTAGTGCAAGTTTTTATTCAGTTAAGTTGGCGCTTTTGCTGTGTTAATTGTATATCCTCTAATTTATTATGAGGCTTTTCATTTGATATTACTAAATGATTATGGGTACTGATTTTTAACTAGTTTTCATACTTTTGGGATGTCAGTTGAAAAGCAATGGAATGGATCAACATCATTTTGAATCTAAAATACAATTAGATGCATTAATTTTATTCTTGGACTTGGGGGATCCAATGGATCATTAAAAAGATAAACAAATAAACCATCCATCTCGATGTTGAGCTTTCATGCTGTAATGAGAAAGCTAATAGCTTGGTGATGAAAATGCTAAACTTTGCCATTATTCTGACTGAATTTAGAATTTAAACTATGTTTGTTGCGGCTGTTCAGTTCAAAATGGGCTGTTTTTTAATATCCAGTCAACTTAGTATGTTTTCTTTTGGACTGAAATTTTCTGGTCTGAACTTATGGGTGGACTCGGGCCGGTTCGGGCCCGGTTCGGGCCTGGGCCCGGCCGGGCCTCGGGCCAGAAAACTAGGGCCCGGGCCCGAACCGCCGGTGGGCGGTTCCGGTTCCGGGCCAAACCGGGCCGGGCCGGGCCAACCGGTCTATTTTTTTTTTTTTTTTTTTTTGGTTCTCCTTTTTAACCCCCTACCCCTCCCCCTCAACCCCAAACCACCCCAAACCACCTCAAATGGCCCAAAATACCTAATCCAACCCAAAACTTAAAAAAATTTCAAAAAAAAAAATATTAAAATCCGGCCCGGACCGGGCCCGAACCGGCCGGGCCGGTTCACCAAAATCAGGGCCCGAGCCCGGACCGCCATCCCACCGGGCCGGGTGGCCCGAACCGGTGCACCAACCGGTTGACCGGGCCGGTCCGGGCCCGCACAGTAGCGGGCCGGTCCGGTTCCGGGCCGGTTGGCCCGGCCCGAGTCCACCCCTATCTGAACTGGTCTGGTAAATGTTTGGTCTTTGTGTATTTTATAACTAGCAAAGTTTGGTCTGGTCTGAGATCGAAAACAATCCAAAAGAAAACATCCTTACTAGAGAGGCCCTTGGACTGCTCTTGCAAACTTTAAAGGAGGCAGAGGAGCAAAGGCAAAAAGTTGCAGGCTAAAAAGAAAGATGCAGAACTGAAGGAAATCAACTAAGCTTCAAAGTATAGGCTAAAGAGAAAAGAAGAGATCTGAAGAGAACGAAATGAGAATTACAGCCACGTTTGAAGCACTACAAAGGCAACTTCTCACAGAGTCACAGCACCAGCCAAGTCGAAACAATCCTATTACCTATTGGACCAACCATTCAAATTGCAGGATGGATAACCTCTCTTAGCTCCCTCAAAATTCCAGTGCAGGATAACCTCTTTCCCCAAAAACAAGCAGGGGCGGTCGGGCAGAGGTGAGGGGGCTTGATCAAGGCCCAACCCACTCCAAATTTGAAAAATGCTTGTTTTTGGTGTAAAATTTGTGTAAAAAAACTATCTTTTTGTGTGTGTCAGCTCTGAGAACAAGACCTTGTAGCTAGGCTCAAACTATTCATAGAAGAGTTACAACAACTAACTTCTGAAGACAAGAAGACCTCTCCTGTCTCTTCTAAAAGAAGAAGAAAGCCGTGGAGAAAAAGGGAGAAGTTGCAGGCCAGCATAAAAAGCAAGAGGCTCTTATGACACAATGACCATCCAATAAAAGACCACATGATGATTATAGTACTATAAAGTGGATTAAGCTTTAAGAGGGCAGATGCTCATAATTTTTTTGCATAAAGCGGTGCTTAGAACTTTAAGGGAAGTGATCATCTGTCATCAGCTTGGTGAGCTGGCTCCTCCTTAGCAAAGGTATACACTGCTCAACAACTTCACCAAGACGACAAGCAGAGTAGATGATGATATTCTTGACCAACTTTAAGAAGGTGCCTTACAGGAAAAAAATGATAGGATGAGAGGAAGGTAGAAGAGAAAACATGAGCAACAACATCAGCTAAAGAGAAAGTCTAGAAATTAGTTTTTTTTTGTAAAAAAAATGCAATATTGATTTTCTTGTGATTATTAATTAATTTTTTTAATTAAAGTGAATTTTGACATCATCAAAAAGGGGAGAATAGTTAAGAACTCTCTGATTTTATAAAGTTGTTACAACTTATTGTGTTCCTTGTGTTGTTATTATTTAAAGAAAAATAAGGTAATCAATCTATCTATATACGACATGGGAGAAATTTTGGTGAGTTTTTCCGCCCAAATAAAAGGTCAAAATTGGATTTTCACATGTTAAGTTGTGTGTTCGGTGTAGCATTGTATGCGCATCTCAATACTCCGTATATAGAGTCCATGGTAACATGGAGTATGGGAGTACAAAAATAATAGAAACATCAAATCATACATTTAACTATTGGTTTGCAAAAATATTTTTTTCTAAAATTAGGAGAATGTTTTTCATTTTATTCCAATTTTTTCAAATATTATATCAAATTATGTAATTTTTTGATCTTTCATATGACATCAATATTAAATATGTGAAATAAAAAAATTATTAAATATTAGGATAAATAGGTAAAAAAAACGGGTTTATTACACACAAAAACATACTCGGTAATGTTTAGAGTATATGACAAAATTAGTACATGGTATACATAATAATTATTTAAAATCAGCCACTGTTTGAATATGCAATGCAAAATTAATTGTCAACCCGGTATGTAAAATAAGCTTATTTTTCAAATTTAAAATTATTGAGTCATTAAATTAATTAATTCCAAGGAAAATTCTAATTCATTTACAAGATATATCATGTACAAGAGAGAGGTAGAGTTGGTGCTCTAAGTAATAAAATAAGACAGTATTGCTCATGTGGAGAGACCAGAAAAGCTACAAGAACCAGCATTAGTTTTTCAGAAGTTGGTCCCCAACATCAAAAAACTGCTTCTATGAGCAATTTGGAGCACCCAAAAATACTTCTACATTTTCACTCAAACACTCCAATATTTGTTTGTGTTCTCTGAAAGAGATCCAAACATCCTCTAACAACAACAACACTAAATAAGTAAAATAGAAAATACTCATGCAGATGTAAAAAGGTAAAAAACAAGAAAAGTAAAAACAATTGGACTAATTCTTGAAAAACACAACAGTTCTTTGCTATATACATAATGATGGTCCCGGATAGAGGTAAAAATCTAGAGGGAGGGTGAATAATGGCATCATCAATGTACAAGTGTTCAGTATAGTGGCATCATCAAAATCTATTCAGAATTGGGTACTAACACATAATATGAATGACAAAAAGAGGATAGTCACTTTAACACAATAGTCAACACTCAACACTAGATAAAGAATAATTTAAAGAGTTCCCCAAATAAAAGTAAAATGAGAGATAAGTGCAAAAAAAGGTTTACGTTCTCAAAATTCCTCAAACAAGATAATTTTTCCAGCTTGGACAATGATACTCTTACAGAGTTTTGGGCCAATCATCATTGGTGTCGGAGCTGCCGTCAGTCGCCATTGTCCGATTTACTACTAGCTGCTGAAAAATTTCCAGAATTATCATGCCTCGTCTCCTGCAGCTCTAACATCCTCCTCCCCGATTCGTCTCCTCATATTCCTCTCCCACCCTAGTTTCAGGTGGGTCTTACCCCCGATTCATCACCGTTCTATTTTTCCGATTTAGAAATTCTACCCTCCATTTTCTCCCCTTTTTCGATTAAATTGGAAACATCTCTACCTCCCCTCCGTGTTCTCTCTTCAATTCCAATCGGGAGATAACTAACACCAACATCATAATTTCATGGGAAAACTATCAAATGAGCCCCCCAACTATTAAAAAAAATCAATTAAGCCCCTGAACCCAAACTTCCCTCAATTAAGCCCTTAAACCCTTTTAAAAAAGCCAGATCCTCCTTTTACCCTGTAATCGACCGGTACCCGGTAAACTTCGTATAAAAAATTTGACGTGTCAAATTTTATTGTGGTTGGCGGATGACATGGCTATATATTTTTAAAATCCTCCAAATTGAATCTAACCCTATTTGAATGTTTTTGTACGCAGGTCTTTTCTCTTAGAACCATAGCTCTTCGCAGAGGTCGTCTCTCCAAGAAGTAACGAACAATGTCATCTTCTTCGGTATCAAGTATAAGAAGAATCAAGCTATCCACTCTTAACTATGAGCCAAGTTTGTATTGCCTCTGTGGACTAAAATCACCCCTTTGCACAGGCCGTGAAAGTGGACGAATGTTCTACGGGTGTCAAAAATGGAAGGTATATATGTCAAATTGGATGTACTAGTAATTTTTAATTTCTTTTTGGTAGATTACAACCTAGTTCTGTTGGTGTTATTTTGTAGGAGGGAAAGGGATGTGGGTTCTTTGCTTGGAAGGATGTGAATTCAAGGAATGACATTAATAGTCACTTGCCTAATTGGAGTAGAAGAGATGATGAAGTGCAGAGGAGGAATCATTCCAATGGTGAAGAAGACATGTACTTGGTTGAGAGACACATTGCTTCTATTAGAGTGCACCTAGAAGCAGAGGCTAAGGGAAAAAGGAGTTTTAGGGTGTTTTGTTATTCAGTTGGTCTATGTTTGTGCCTAGGTTTATTTGGGTTGATTTATTTCAGTAAGCCATGTATGTGCAAAGCTGATATTGTAATGCATTAGTTGATTTTGTAATTTTATGAAAATGTATTGACTGATATCGGTGTTGGATTGAACTGACCTAAAAGCAATGCACTGTTTTTCCCTCTTGTTGTTGTGCACTGATTAGTGTACTGTGATTCTTGGAACCATTTCATTGGAATTATGTGAGTGTAAGTAGTTAAGGTGAAAGAAGAGATGCCAAGAACCACTATTTCCAAAGTGATTCACCACTTCCATATATGTATTACAGTTGGAAGATGACACTGCAATAGCAGGTTTCATTAATAGCATTTGGAAGTATTTTGATGCAATTTCAGAGCCGTAGAGTTTTGAGTTCTGTTCTTAGTACAACACTGATTGGTTTCCATATGTTGTTATGGTATGATCACATGTATATGCACTTTTACAGTACAAAGAATGACAAAAAAGTGGGGAAACTGCAAAAAAATGCCACTGCCTCTGAAATAACCTATCCACCTGCTTCATCTATCTCTCCATTTTCCAAATTAATAACCAACAGCCCTCTGGAATAATATTGGGCAACCTAACTTACAAGGTTCAAGTAACAATTTATGCCCAAATAATATGGCCTGAATATTGGTTCAGAATGATAGCACACCTATATTGATGCCCAAATATGTTAACATTCAAAGAGAGTAGTCAAAATACATGCCTGAAGCAAGCACAATAAACCCCTGCCCAACCAAAATGCAGGCCTAAACCAAAATACAGCCCTCACATGAGTTTCCTGAACAAGTAATGCACATGGTAATTTAATATGTCCAAATTTATTTATGTCCAAATATCTTAACATGTCAGGGCTGAGAGTAGTCAAAATACAGGCCTGAACGAATCAAAATGCAGCCTTCAAGCAATCATTATGCAGGCCTGGAACAAGGAAAATACACCCCTGAACCAACCTATATGCAGCCCTAAACCAAGTAATGCACATGGTAATTTGATAGCACACCTATATTTGTGCCCAAATTTGTTAACATTCAAAATATTGGCCAGAATGTGCCATCCAAACCATAGTTTACATATTGGCCACAATGTGCCATCAAAAATAGCATTGTAACCTTACAAAGCATCATAAGCATAGTTTACACAAGAGTTTACAAAAAAACATTACAACCTTATAAAGCATCATACACTGGCCAATGTAATATTTATACACAAAAATTGTTGACATTTAAGCGTGACAAGTCCCCATAAAATTCATGGCAGTCAACTTGGCCGGTGCCCAAAAAATAGTCCATTCTTCTTCTGGATCTCTTCTTCGATTTATCCCTTCAGAAACCACCATTTCTCCACGCTGGCTAGGCTGCAATAACAAACAAAAGATCATGTTCATTACTCAATCAACAAGTACAAATGACCAATAATCAAGAAAGGTGCAAAATGCATACATTAAGGACAGTTACTCCAGTTTGTGGATCCATGTAAATGTCAAAACCAGACACATTATCACCAGTATACTTCCTCCCTCTTCCCCTCATTTTTCCACCCCTCCTTGTTCTACCTCTTCCCTTACCCATCCCTACTTCTGCTTCACCTCCAATAGGTGAATCAATAGTTGATTCGGTTTCTCTCCCCCTCCCTCTCCCCCTCCCTCTCCCTCTCCCTCTCCCCCTCCCTCTCCCATTTCCTCTTCCCCTAGTTGTTGTAGTTGGAGTAGGTGCAGTTGGACAACGCAACCTGTTATGACCAGGCTGCTTACAATTTGAGCATGACATAAGTAGACCCTTCCTTGACATTTGAGTTGCGGGGGGAGGCTCACTTTCTTCACGCACTCTTTTCTTCTTTGGCCTTCCACTCATTTTTTTGGGTATAGGTGCTTGGATTTCCTCATTCTCAGTTCTTGGCCAGAACATTTCGCCATTAATAGGCTGTAGAGTATGAGAGTATGTTCTCTCATACATTTCTTTAGAATAACACATATCCACATAGTCTTCTGGATTGTGACCTTGGTCTAAAATGGCACAAATTGCATGTGCACAAGGTATACCTTATTTAACAATTCAAAACAATATTAGTAGAAGAAAAAATATTACTTTTACCAGACTTGTGATAACTAACAAACAACCTGAAACATCCCACTTTCTGCAACTACAAGATCTGCCTTGAAGCATTACTGTGAATTGATGTCTTCCCTTCTTGATCTCATACTCGTCGTCTCCATTAAAATCAACATGCCACCCAGAGCTGACATAAATATTCTTATTCAACTTTTTTCTGATAATGGATCCAAACTTTCCTGGAAAAGACAGAAGACATGTCATAAAGTATGGGTTCCTATATAAAGGAAAAATGCCAGGACAGTTTAAAAGGAAAAAAAACCTGGCCATTTCAACACAGCCTTTTTCTTCTTAGCAATTCTCTTCATCATTCCCACCCTTATATCCTCAAGCATTGGAATCAAGGGCTTGGATCTGCATCTTAGGAGTGTACTATTGAAGGCTTCAGAAAGATTATTATCGCACGCATCACACTTCACACCCACTCTGAAGAATGCCTTGCACCATAACTGAAGTGGGTATTTCTGTAAATCTATGGCAGCTTGAGAATCTGCTTTCTCCATCTCTTTTATGGTTGCTTGGAGTTCTTGTTGTGATGTGGACTTTGCAACCTTCCAGAATAACTTCTTCAGGATCAAGCCTCGGTGAGATTTGCTCCAATTGGCATGTATATGCCTAGCACAATTTATGTGTTCAATTCCAGTCAAAACATGCTCTATAACACTGGACAACCCCTATAACAATAAATGGAATAGTAAAGTTAAAAGTTTGTAGTACATTTTTAAAAGGCAGAATTATTAAAATGTAATGGTACATGGATGATAATAACTAAAATGTAATTACTAATAATTAAAAGGAGGAGGCAAACCTTCTGTTGGTCACTGATAATTGTCCAAAACTCTGGTCTTTCAATGTTTAGGTCTTCTTTGAGAAGCTCTAGGAACCATGTCCAAGAAGAATTGTTCTCGATCTCCACAACAGCCCAAGCAATTGGGTACATCTGGTTGTTAGCATCCCTACCAACGGCAGTCAATATTTCACCCTTTAGTTGACCTTTTAAAAAACAACCATCAACCCCAATCACCTTTCGACATCCCTCTGGAAAACACATGGGGCTTCAGGCACAACTCTAACAGTTTTTATGACCACGGTACTATCAGGAATGGACTTAAGACACTCCTCAGCATAATCCCTAATTCTCTTAAATTGGTCCTTAAAAGTAGAGTTAGTTTTTTCATGTATTCCCCTCATAGCCCTGCTCACCATATTGACAGAAACATTTATCTTAAGTTCAGCCTTAATAAGAGCTTTTAAGTCCATGGCAGTCATGTTTTGATTAGCAAAAACTTTTTCTTCATACTGCTCTTCAATCCATTTCTGACTAACAGCCCCCAATTTAAACTTCTTATTGCATAAATGACGTTTTCTGAACAACTTCACTTGCATACAGTGATACCTTTTATCCCATGTAGCAGTACACCTAAAGGGACAATTTATAGCACACTTCACACGCACTCTCTTTGGTTCATTCTTAGCAAATCGGAGGTCTCTTTTTTTGTGTATAGCATATCTAATAATGGCATTTTTAAACTGCCTCCCATCTTCAAATAGCATGGTCAACTGAATACGAGGTTTGTCAGACTCTGGGTTATAGCTTGGATGCTTTACCTTCTTTGTTTTATGCTGCACACCTGTCTCATCTTCACCCTCTTCTGAATGTATACTGGAATGGTTGTCAGAATCATACTCAACACTTGTTTCAGAGTCACAAGCACCCCAATCTTGGAATTTTTTTTTAAAAAATTGGGTGTCTTGCGTTTCAGTTCCAAGCTCATCCTGCCCACTCAACTCCTCATGAAGTTCCTCATCATGTTCTGTTTCACCTTCTGAAGTGTCTTCTCCACTACCACCCTCTTCCATGTCATCTTCCTCTTCACTGCACACACTCTCATGTGTTTCTTCTTCTTCAACAGTCTGTTTCCCATTTGAGGCTCCAGTATGACTCTCATCATAAAGGTTCACATTATCCCCCTTATTACCAGCATCATGGTCAGTCTCATCACCTACCAGTGTGTAAACATTTAAGCCTCCAATGTTACTGCCAGTGTGTGTCTCTTCAACATGTGGTGCAGGTAAGGGAAAAATGTCAACCAAGTCAACATCATCTATCCCATGTTCTACAAAGATATCACATGCTCCACAGCTTATTGCTAACTGAATTAAATGCAAGGTGGTTTCGTCATTCAATAGCTGATGAAGACAGTCCATAGGGTCCTTAGGTCTCTTATAAAACAACCCACTAATATTCCCATAATTACCAGATTTCAAACACTTCATTAGATGAGGGTAGCAGATTAAATCTGGATCAATTACAAATATATCAACGTCACCGCCCTTGTACTCACACTTAGGCTTGTAACTGAAATTTCCACCATGGTGAATAACAAGTTCAACTCGGTCAAACATCCTGTGGGTAATTTACATGCTCAATAATTCAGTCGTTCGTACACAGTAGTTCAATGTAAACTGATAATTGAAAAATTAGGTGTAGTCACAATAACTCTTACGCACCCCACACATGTACTAAAAAAGAAGAGGAAGATGCCAAACGTACGGGTTACTCTTAAAGTGCAGCTGCGGACTTCCCTTTCCAGCTTTTCGATCGCGTTCTTTCAGCTCTACTCGCCTCTTTCCCGTAGCTCTACACGCTCACCTTTGTCTGCATCGTTAGGGTTAATTTCCGATTTTCAATTTGGGGAAGTAGAGTATGATGCAATGTTTTTAGCTTAATCAGCGCTTATGTGTATAATATCTGCCACGTCAAATGCCAAATCATCACCTAGATTGCTAACCGGTCGATTACAGGGTAAAAGGAGGATCTGGCTTTTTTAAAAGGGTTTAAGGGCTTAATTGAGGGAAGTTTGGGTTCAGGGGCTTAATTGATTTTTTTTAATAGTTGGGGGGCTCATTTGATAGTTTTCCCTAATTTCATGTATTTCTCCTCCTCCCCCCTCTACACCTCCTTCCCCCTCCTCTTCTTCCTCATCTTCTTCTTAGAATGTCATGAAACTGACATTGTTACTCAAAAACATGATTGTCGCTCCTTATCTTTTGCTTTAAAATGTAATAAAGATGTAAAATAAAATTGTCACCATGATAAATGTAATGTTATAAAATTGACATTAATACAAATCGTGTTCAATAAAACAGCTATTATGACAGTTCAAACGATAAGAAAATAGAATAGTCATGGAAGAAGAAAGTAGAGTAGTTGAGAAGAAGTAAATATAGGAGCAGAAGATGATGATGAATAAGCAACCAAGCATTTCAGCCCAGCTGGTTGTGAGGTTACCGTGCCTAGTGGGAAGTCTCGAGTTCGAATCCTGCTAGGCACACAAGGGTTGGAAACTCAATGGAGTGAGTTTGAGCCCTGATTACTCTAGGCTCCCCCAGCCCCCTCCCCTGGACCCCCTGGAGTATAAAAAAAAGATGATGAATAAGCTTACTTGAGCATGTAGCTTCGTTGGCGACATTACTCTCACCCGGCGAACCTCCATCCATAGTTGGTGGAACCTATGTAGCATCAATACGGGAAACGCGTACGGGTATACGTGAAAACAAAAAAAGGATACGTATATGGGCTAATTTCTATTGGAGACTCGTTGATAAAACTAAGGTAAATTTTCCTTTTTGTTTTTATTTTTTTAAGACTTTTATTATTATTTTTAAATGTTTTTTTATAAAAAATTGATATGTGTATCGGTTAGAATACATGTATCCTAAATTTTTAAATAATTATCAAAAACTTTGATTTTTATAAATTTTTAAATTACATGTATCCTGGAATATCATACTCTGTTATAGTTTGGCAGAAAGATACACGTAATCTCAATTACCCCCTAGAGTTTCTTCTTGTGCACACTTTTATACTCACATTATACTCATCATATTTGTGAGAAGATTTTTTGTTTGTGATCCGATTCAGAGACAAAATAATTCGTATAGGCATATTTTATCTATGACCGAGATTCACGGACAAAATAAAACTCCTCAGAGACATGTTGAGTACAAAAGTGAGTATAACTGTATAAGATGAGTACAAACAACTTTTTTGAGAGAAAATTTCAGTTACACCCTTTTCGACGAGAAGTTAAAGCAAATGGAGGATTTGACTTTGCACTCCATGTTTTAGGTGATATTTGACTTTGCACCCTATTTTTAAAATAATTAATATATGCACCCCATTAATCCAAAAAATGTGAAGAAATGGGATGCAAAGTCAAATGATTTTGTAAGGGATTGAGATGCATATATTAATCATTTTGAAAATAGGGAGCAAACTGAAGTATCACCTGCCAAACTATTCCCCGCCACAAAAAGAGAGAATTTGATAGATAATAAGATCACATTGTGTGGTCAAAGAACGCCACCACGGAAACGCCTCGCCACTGCGCGTCAGTGTCCTCCCTCTCGTCGCCGTTGACATACTCTAATGGCGTTGCATGTTCAAGTTGATAGGGCGGGATTAAATCCTGTAATGTTGAATTCCTCACGCTTGTCTTCCAATAAGTTTGTAGCCTGCGGCGTCGTGGGGGGTCATGGATGCAAGCCCAAATGTGGAGGACGTCTGAGCTTGAAGGTGAATGCGAGCTCGGAATCTACCTCTGCTTCTACTCCGGCGCTGGGTAAGGTGACTGAGGTAAACAAAGATACCTTTTGGCCTATTGTTGAAGCCGCCGGTGATAAGCCCGTCGTCGTCGATATGTATACCCAGTGGTAACTCGACCGTCCTTTTCCTTCCCGCTCACCATATAACTGTTCTACTTGCAACATAATTTTTGCTGGTGGATTTGAGAAATAGTGTTCTGAAATAAGGTTGGTTTTGAAGAACATTCACAATCTGCTATTCTGGCTTTGCTTTTGTTACTCGTCCAGACAGTGGAGTAGCAGCATGCATAAGTCTGGCAGCGCAAAATTAGGTCTTGCGAAGTAATCAAGTGAAAATGAATAACATAGCTAGAGTGGCTGATTCTATATCTGGAACCCAAATTTGGTTATCTTCTCCTCCGAGTTGTATTTGTGACACTTTGTCCTTTGACATTATTAGGGATAATTAAGATCATTAGTGCAAAAAAAACATATGCGAATCTTATGGAACATATACATTCTGAATGCATTTTTCTTCCATCTCGAATTGCAGAGAAAAACTTGTGGAGCTTTAGCTGAACCTGATTTGACTATTGTGTAAGACTGTTTAATGGATCGTGGTAAAAGAAAGTCCCCCACTTCCCTTTAGGTCTTATTAGTCTGCTGTGTAGCAGGCACCTAACTCATTTTACATAATTGGTTTGGGCCTTTGGGGTATGCTTAGATCTCATAAAATGCTTCGAAAAGGAAACTGAATGCTAAGGAAGGTTGTTGTGTTATGCTGGGTTTACCCAGACAAAATACAAAAAAATTAAAAATATGACAACTTTTTTTAGAATCCTATGTTTGATTAGATCTCTTAGTCTTTGTGTAATGCACATAAATAAATAAGTAAATTGAGTAAAAACAAGTATCTAATAGAGTCTAATTTTAGTGAGTTTTAGACTATCTTTTATCCCCCCCCCCCTCCCTCACATTTTTCTCTCCAACTTTTTCTTCATGGGTTCCTTCCAATATTCTTTCGAAATCTTTCCCGGGTTCCAAACAGACCCTTAATGATTTGGTGTTTTTGTCATGCTTTTGGCTTTTTAATAAATGCAGGTGTGGTCCTTGCAAAATTATGGCTCCCAAATTTGAAGAAATGTCTGTAAAGTATCTTGATGTTGTCTTTCTAAAGTTGGACTGCAACCAGGATAACAAGGTAGCTTGGTCTTATAAATTAACGTTTCATCCTTCATTCACCTCACATGTATCCTTCTCTCATATGGCCTGTCTGTTTGTGAATTTGGCAGCCATTGGCCAAGGAGCTAGGCATAAGGGTGGTTCCTACATTCAAGATTCTTAAGGGTGGCAAGATTGTCCAAGAAGTAAC